GCTTCTGGATTAATAAAGTAAGTAAAGTAATAAAGTCAGTTAAAATTCTTCTAGAAGTTAACCTTTCAAAAACTTAGAATAAGCTTTTTTTGACTTGCAAAGTGTCCCATTTCATCAAGAAATGGGTCTCTGAAGTCTCTGAGGTCTCTGAGGTCCCCAAGTTTCTGAAGAGATTTCTAGTGGAATTTGAGATAGTGAAATAACAACGATAACACTTTTTTATACTCTTTAGGTATTCTTGATCACTTTGAGAAGCACTAAATAAGAGAAAGCTTACAAAATATAAGCTACATGTTTTCAAAAACCCAAAAAAACCCCAATAAAGCTTTCATTGAAAAAAAAGAGATTAGTTGCTAAAAGTGAATCTTCAACCTTTTCAAAAAGTGGTAATTTATCTGAAAAAGGATTAAACTAGACGTGTTTTCCGTATCACAAGCCAAATTTCCCTTCTTTCTTTTCCCAGTGACATGCTAGTGTCCATTTCGGGGAACTTCCTTCAAAAAGTGACGACAAATTTTGTTTCCTTTTTCCTTTTTAGCTCATCACGAACTCTAAAAATGAACTAAAGTTTATTTTTAGATGAAAATCCTTTCCAAATCCTTTCCTTTGTTACTTACTTAATGGAATTTGATTCGAATCGAGTTTCTAAACAAAAATAAGTCTTTTAGCTTAAAGAGGAAACTCGAAATTTAAAAACAAAAGATTTCTAGAGCACATTGAAAGCTGGAATTTTCTTGGACTTTCCATTCGGGACTCTTCAGAAGATTTTCGAGCTTCTGAGGTCTAGAATGATCTAGAATGATCTAGAATGATCTAGAATGATCTAGAATGATCTAGAATGATCTAGAATGATCTAGAATGATCTAGAATGATCTAGAATGATCTAGAATCATCTAGAATGATCTAGAATGATCTAGAATGATCTAGAATGATCTAGAATCATCTAGAATGATCTAGAATGATCTAGAATGATCTAGAATGATCTAGAATCATCTAGAATGATCTAGAATCATCTAGAATCATCCAGAATCATCTAGAATCATCTAGAATCATCTAGAATCATCTAGAGCTATGGGAACAATTCCTGAGACATCTAGAGCTATGGGAACAAGTGCTGAGTCAAATTCTCAAGTCAAAAGTCAAATACCCGAGTCAAACGTACAGAAAAAGTTCAGAGAATAATCAATTTTAATCAATTTTTAATCTTTCAGTACTCTCAAAGTTTAGAAAACAAATAAAAATGATGGAAATGTTGAGAAAACCAATCAAAAGGCTTAAATCTAAACTTAAAATCTCTTGGAATTCTTGGAATTCTTGGAGTTCTTGGATTCAGTCCAAATTTCTAATTTTAAACCTTCAAACACACGCAAAACCTTTTCATTTCCAAATTTAGCCTCCCGAAAATCGATCTCTAAACTCGTTCCTTTGTGCGGATTTATTTTTAGAGCCACTCAAAGCACGTTGACCACGTCTTTTTCAGGATTTTCTTTCAGAAATGATGTGATTTCTTTTCCAAAAAATTCTAAATTTAAAGCAAAGTTTTCCCCTGCAAATGACAAATTTCATCCAATTTACCAGCCCCATTTTTGTCCCCACTTTTCCCATTTCCAATCCATTTTGTGTATCAGGAAACTATAAATTGACCACCACAACACCAAGAAATTTGAGCTTAAAGTTGGATTGTCAATGGGAAAAGCGAAGGAGCTAAGGAGCGAAGCGCGGATCAAATGCTCGATAACTATTTTGTCAAGCAGCAGCCAACCAATAAATGTTTTACTTGTGAAAAATGAAAATCTTTCTTGATTCGTTTCAAGAAAATACGGTACTTTGTTTTTTCAAAAGGTTTTCAAGGTACTTTGTTTTGAACTTTACCAATCATATGAGTAATAATAAAGCTTTTTTTTTGATAAAGGTTTTTGAAACATATCAAATGTCTCACAATCATTTAAAGAGCGGCTGATCGTTTAAATACTCTGCGAAAGTCCATGTTTTTAAAGATATTCAGCTGATTTACTGAATATCCTCAAAAGTTGGCGAAAAGAAAACAAAGTTTATATTAAAGTAAACGTTTTTTATTCTGGGACGCCCCGCGCCTTTTGCCATTGAAAATCCAACTTTAAGCTCAAATTTCTTGATGTTCAGCTGTTCAGTTTAAATAGTTTTTATACCAATTGATAGAGAAAGACTTGGCGCATCCGATGATACCAAGAATATATAAATTGAATAGCCCAACACCAAGATATTTGAGCTTAAAGTTAGATTGCCAATGGCAAGGGGGGAGGCGACAAACCTTTTATACGCGCTCCGCCCCTTTTGCCATTGGCAGTCCAACTTTAAACTCAAATTTCTTGATGTTCAGCTGTTCAGTTTAAATAGTTTTTATATCAATCGATAGAGAAAGACTTAGCGCATCCAATGATACCAAGAATATATAAATTGCATAACCCAACACCAAGAAATTAAGATATTTGACCTTAAAATTAGATTGTCAATAGCAAAAGCGGCGGAGCGTTTCAAATGTCCGATAACCGTCTAAATTGAGCATAAAAGTGCATTTTTCTCGAAAAGTGTCAAACTTTTGATAGTTTCTTTTGTCATTTTCGTGTAGAAGAGAAAAAACTGTCTGTAAAAAGCACTACAGGAATCTGATTTGAGTCATTTTTTATGTAAAAAAAATGCTCTTTTAATAGATCAACGAAAGACAAATTTCATCCAATTTCCCACCCATTTTTCTCCCCATTTTCAACCCATTTTGTGGCATTTAGCCTTTCAAAGCGCCTTTCAATTATGAAAAGAATGAACCCGTTCAACTCATCCATAAAAATTCATATCAAAAACTTTTTGCAATCAAAAAGATATAGCTGAAAAGCTTTTCCAGCTTTTCAACTCATCAATTGGTCATGCAAATATGTAAATGACTTTTTGGATAAGAATCTAGAGAGAAATAAACCTAAAATAAATAAGAAACCTAAAATTATAAGCCTTATTTAAGAATTTGAATCAACTATGAAGAATTGCTATGAAGAACAAAAAAAAATGGCTTACAATTCAGCATTGCATCGCTTGCTTGAAATTGTTAGATTAAAAGTATTGTTAAACAAATAAATCCAAAACAAATCAATCAAGATTTTACAAACAAATCATTATATCAAGTTATTTCAATAAATTTTTCAATAAATAAGTAAATAACCTTAACCCATTCGAAACTTTTGCAGCGAATAATCGCTGCAGCAAAAACTCAGGAACGGACCGCTGCAGCGATTATTCGCTGCAGCGCTAATTGAGCTATTTTCATTCAAGTAATTGGTTTTTTTTGCTGTTTTTCAGCATTACATGTATATTCCAATTGTAACAGATCTACAAATTAAGTGGGCAAAAAAGACGTGTCATATTTACCCGGAATCAATGCAGCCTCTGGTTTTGCATTGAAATGTTCCATAATAGCTCTAATCTTATAAAGCCAATCTCCTGCAGGATCCAGTTCATTATCACAAAAACGCAAGTTTCGAAGAATAGATTCAAATTTTGCTCTTGACATAATGTGGGACATGTGGGAAAATCCTCCTAATCCAGGCCTGCTACGTAGTCACGAATCCTCGGTAATTTGACGATTCCCATTTGAAGATACAGAGCCAGGAAGAGCTTGAAAGATTTTGCATCGAAATCCTGCCAGTTTGTTTTCCTTTTTTCTTGTTTATTAGATTCGCCTACTAACATATTGATTAATTTGTCGTCGATAAAATAAGAATAATAATGGATAGGATCTTGAAAAGTACTGAAGTCAAATCCAAATCGTTCTTCATCAAAAATAAATGGTGTAGGAGACTCTCTTAAATCTTTCCAACCATCTGGATAAACTGCTTCGGAGTCAAAAATGTCAAAAAAGGGCTTGGTCCGCAGACGAAAAAAAAGAAAAAACGCTGCCGTTTCGAATCGTTTAAAAATAAAATCTGTTAATAAGTTCAAATTCTTTCAAATTCTTACGTAGGAAAAGAGAGAAGCAGCATTATGATCAGCGTAAAATTCTGCGTCCAATGGCTTTTGTGATTTGACCAGCACATTCAGTTGTTCTTCTCTTGTAAGCTTTCAAAGTACAATCGACTCTCAATATAACGATATTCTCGATGCGGAAAGTTCTGCGTCGAATGGCTTATATGATTTGGCCAACACATCCAGCTGACCTTCCTTTGTTAGTGTTCAAAGCTATAGTGTAGCTGCGATCTTTAGTAAGTAACTGCATGTGCTAAAGTTTTTGAGGCTTGACCAGAGCAAGATCATAGCTAGCCAGATTAAGATTAAGAGGTCTAAAGCCATGACTAACGAGGTCAACCCAAACAAAAGCCATGAAGAATGGCCGGGAGTCAAATCCAAGTCATTTGTGCTAGTTAGGTGCACAAAGAATTTAGTTTTTAAACGAATTTTCATAAAAACTCTTGCCAACTGAAAGAAAGATTTTAATTTCAAATTGATTTCAAATTGATTTCAAATTTGAAATCAAATCTCATTTCAATTACCCAAAAAGCTACAAAGTGTTCAGCTTCTTTTTTACTTAAAACTTTACCAATTCATTTAGCGAACTAGTGCTTTGTCACCGAAAAAAACCCCAGATCTTTCTCCATTTTGCAAGTGTATTGCAAGTGTATTGCAGTCTTTGCAAGTGTATCCAGGTGTAAATCATTGTTGGCCAATATTTCAGTATTTCTAAATTTTCTCATGGTCAATTTTTTTTATAAGCTTTCCAAGAAAGGTTACTCAATTAATTTCTCAAAAAAAAATCAGCTGCTTTCAAGAGAAGGTGGTGGTTATTTTTGGGAAAATGTATAAAATTTCGAGTTTTTACCATTTCAGGGATAGAAATCTTTATTGAAAATCATAAAAATCAAATTTTTGACTAGAGAATTAAAAAAAAAACTGAGCAAGATAGGTAGATAACCGATAGAAGACCGATAGAAGACGGTAGATAGAGGTGGATAGAGGTAGATAGAGGTAGATAGAGACTAAGAGCTGATCATAACGGTTGATGGAGGCCAAGACGTTGGTGCAGGTGGTGGAGTGGGGAATTGAACCGGTAAAGGATCACGCTCGACAAAAATCCCACTCCCGATTGGGGTCACGCATTTTTGAGCACTTGGAGAAGAGCCACGAAGTGAAATGAATTGTAGAGAGGGAAGTGAGTTTAACGACCATTCAACGCCGAGAGAAGTGATCTAAAAGTTCGAAAGTTTAGCGTTAAAGCGGCATTCAGACAGAAAAATGACTTTTATATACTTGTGGTGATGCTCTAAAAAATGTAAAATATTTAGGGGTGGCTATTTTTGCGCAACTGGCCCTTTTGCGCAACTGGATCTTTGACTCAACTGGCCCTTTTGCGCAACTCGCCAAACTTTCCTTCTAAGTGGGCAAATCTTTATGATTTTGGTGTCATTTTGTTGCACTTGTTGAGCTCTACAAAATGACACCAAAATCATAAATATTGGCTAATTTAGAAGAAAGTTATGGCGAGTTGTGTAAAAGATCGAGTTTGGTGAAATTTAGCGCAAAATAGCCACCCCTAAATATTCAACTAGAATTTTAATTGCAAAAAAACATTTGCTTGACAAAATGGTTATTGGGCATTTGATCCGCGCCCTTCGCTTTTCCCATTAGCAATCTAACTTTAAGCTCAAATTTCTTGATGTTGGGTCAGCCAATTTAGATATTCTTGGTATGATTAGATGCGCCAAGTCTTTCTCTATCGATTGGTATAAAAGCATTTCAATTGAACAGCTGAACATCAAGAAATTTGAGCTTAAAGTTGGATTGCCAATGGCAAAGGGGTGGGGGGTCCCACAATCAAAAAACATTTGCTTTAATACAAACTTTGTTTTCTTTTTGTCTATTTTTTGAGAATATTCAGTTAATCAGCTGAATATCTTCAAAAACATGGGCTTTGGCATGCCATTGGCAATCTAACTTTAAGCTCAAATATCTTGGTGTTGGGGTGTTCAATTTATATATTCTTGATATCATTAGATGCGCCAAGTCTTTCTCTATTGATTGGTATAAAAAGCATTTCAATTGAACAGCCGAACACCAAGAAATTTGAGCTTAAAGTTGGATTGCCAATGAAAAAGGGGTGGGGGGTCCCACAATCAAAAAACATTTACTTTAATATAAACTTTGTTTTCTTTTCGCCAACTTTTGAGGGTATTCAGTAAATCAGCTGAATACCTTTAAAAACATTGACTTTCACAGAGTATTTAAACGATCAGTCAGTCTTTAGATGATTGTGAGACATTTGATTGCCATTGACAATCTAAATTTAAGCTCAAATTTCTTGGTGTTGGGCTATTCAATTTAAATAGTTTTTATACCAATCGATAGAGAAAGACTTGGCGCATCCAATGATACCAAGAATATATAAATTGAACACCCCAATACCAAGAAATTTGAGTTCAAGGTTGGATCGTCAATAGCAAAAGCGGCGGAGCATTTCAAATGTCCGATAACCGTTGAAATTAAACATAAAAGTGCATTTTTCTCGAAAAGTGTCAAACTTTCGATAGTTTCTTTTGTCATTTTCGTGTAGAAGAGAAAAAACTTTGTATGATACAGGAATCTGATTTGAGTTGTTTTTATGCAAAAAATGCTCCTTTAATAGATCTACCAAAGATTAGATTGGCTAATAAAATTGAACAATTCTCCAACAGTTGAAAAGTTCCCAACAACTATTGCTATATACTAAAGTTGAAAGTCGAAACTCACGCCTGGACACTTGGATAGATCGAGTGTTGCAATGTGAGCCAATCCAGAGATATGCACCAATATCGAATCGTTGACAGCCGGGATACCCGAGAGGGACAAGCTGAAATTTTGGTTGTTCAAAAGTGTTGAAAACAAATTGATTAAGTAAAATCAAAGAATTAGCGTCTACAGAAATCAAACTTTACCATTCCAAGTTGAATAAAAATGCGATTTTCTCAAGGGAAAGACGAGTCAAACGAAAGCAAGCATCAATGTTCAAATGGATCAAACGAGGACATCCCATGCAGATTGTTTCAAATGAACGATTGAAGAGGCTGTAGCAACCGGATAGGTTCAACTCACTGGAAATTCATATAAGAGGCCATTCATATAAGATTTTCTTTCCTACCGTAGAGAATCAATTTGGCCTAAAGCTGTGAAGTCATCGATTAGACGAGAATTCGAGAGATCCAGCGATTTCAGGCATTTCATCGACAAGAGAGTTGACAAGGCATTGGCTTGGAAAACGTTTTGCGCGACGCCGAGAGTGGTTAGACTGAAAGATGAAGTGTTTAGACTACTACTAAAGTCTAAACTGAAAAAAAACTACTACAGAAGGCTGTAAATTTGAGATTTTTGAAAGAAAAAACCCCACAAAAGAATTTTTTCTTTACTTTTTTTTTAAAAACCCAGTTTTTGTTATGTTTAAGTAGATTCAGTTGAAAAAACATATTAAATAAGTTAATATTTTCCATAAGATCATTAATAAAAGAACCCCTAAAATTTGAGTTTCGATTTTTTGACTACCCATTTTTTGCCGTTCATAAAAGATTATTTATTGATGCTATGGTCATGAAATCTTGAATAGATACAGAAAACAATATGAATTTTCATTTAAAAAAGAAATTATTATTTTTTGTCTGCAAATAACAGAAATATTAGGTACATGCATAAGAAATGCGGATTTCAACATTTTCATAAATTTCCAACGATAGAAATCGGATGTTATAAACTAATAGGTTGCATCAACCTTCAAGGTTGCATAAGTCTTTTCGTTTTTTTCGTACTTCTGTTAAAAAGTAACAAATTCACGAATTAATCTATAGTTTGCTCTATAAAAAAAGTGTTTTTTTGTTCAATTAGCATCTTTTTAAATGAATTTCGGTTCACTTTGAAGCAAATTCGAGAGTGAAAAACGCCTTTTTCGTAAAAATCTATAAAAAACTCTACGGAAAAATTGGCTGAATGAATTTCTCTGAAATTTTGGCGAAATATCAAACGTTTTTTTTCTCTATCTTTTATCTATTGACACGAAGATAGGTTTTCTTTAGCTAAGGTGTCTAAACCGCATCATCGAGTTAGCCCTTTTTGACTACCCGACTTCATACTCTCAAGAAAATCCAGGCATTAAATATTTTTAAACCCGTTTTAATGTTATTTTGCACAAAAATAATTGCTTTTTCTAATGAAATCAACCGTAGTTTAATTCGTGCATTTGTTGGCTTGAAACGGCAGACGAAAAGGAACAAAAACACTTATGCATCAACCTAATAGAATCGATGAATGTTATAAACTATTTGAAAGTTGTAAATCTCCTCTACAAAATAGGCTAAAACGTGTTTCAATTGATCGAGCCAATTGAAGAAATTTCGAGGGCGAAATGCGAGTGACCAAAAAAAGGAATCGAGTCACTTTAGGCACAAGTTTAGTGTGGTTAAAATAGAGTTAGCTTCCCAAAATTGAAGATTTAAAAAAAGAAAGGATAACTATATATCAATTCATATCAAAAGTCTAACGGAAATCCATTTACAAAAATTTAGATAGAGTGTAAGTTCAAAAGCCTCAAAATTGTCAAAAAATCGGCTTTTTCACCAAAAAAGAAAATTATTGTAAAAAGAAAGTTTTCCCATGAAATGATCCGAACTCTTAATTATTTTGAATTATATTTTAATCCACTATATAGGTCATTTTCCACTATATAGTCAAAACCGAACTCTTGTGAAAGTGGGGTTTTCAAAAAGTGTCCTTTTTTGGTCTATCTAAACGCTCTATCTAAATTTCTTGTAAATGGATTTCCGTTAGACTTTTGATATGAATTGATATATAGTTATCCTTTCTTTTTTTAAATCTTCAATTTTGGGAAGCTAACTCTATTTTAACCACACTAAACTTGTCCCTAAAGTGACTCGATTCCTTTTTTTGGTTACTCGCATTTCCCCTTCGAAATTTCTTCAATTGGTTCGATCAATTGAAACACGTTTTAGCCTATTTTGTAGAGGAGATTTACAACTTTCAAATAGTTTATAACATTCATCGATATCAGGTTTCTATCGATTGGAAATTTATGAAAATGTTCAAATCCGCATTTCTTATGCATGTACCTAATAGAATAGTAATATAATAATCAAAGGCTTTCTTAAAACATTAAATACTCTAAGAATTTAACGAGACAACCTTTTTCAAAATCGTAAAGAATTACCGTAAATACTGTAATAGTACCCAATCGTACACTCGTACAGTCGCGCAGTCGCAAAAGCTTTTTCGTATTTCATTTTTTTCAAAGCACCCGTACTTTCAAAAAACGCGTCTTTGGTATCAAAAAATAGCTGAAATTCAGGGCTATTTTTTGATATTTAAACGCGCATTGTAGCATAAACCAGTGTCGAGAAAAACTCGTCCAAAGCTAGACTACGCAACGCTCCGCACCGTCATTATGGGGGTGGCGTACTATTACAGTATTTACGGTAATATAAGCGTAGAAAAGAAAGAGCCGGTGATTTCTGGTCATCCTGGTTAAAGGAATCCACGAAAACTCGGTAAAACTCAAATTTCCAATCTAAAACTTGCACTAACTTCATTGATCGAATGAAGTCGAGATTGTTGAGCTCGGGCGCATCACCGAGATTGAGGTGAAGCTCGGAAAGTGATCGGGGCAAAGCGGCGATCAATTTTCGACTCGCTTTCAGCCATCCACACCAACGAGTCTGAAAGTGCCAATATTTTTGCTATTTTCAATGAATCTTTAAAATTTAAAATCTTATGTTTCTATTCTCAATTCTCAATTTCTACCTCAATTCGAAAAGTCTTCAATTTGACGCATTTCTCGAGCAGACGAATCATAGAATTCTCTGCCAACTCAGCTTCTTCCAATGAGAACACCTCAAAGCGACACGCGAAAAAAGTCAAGTCCTAAATATTATCATTTTTAAGTGCTAGAACTAGAGCTAGAATTGTTTAACGACAACAACTCACCTCCAATGATGCGGGAAAATTCTGCATCTCTTCCAAAGCATTCAATGTGATAATCATACGGTGAAAGCGTAGCCTGGAAAACTTTTATACTGTACGGGGAAAACAGTTGGGAAAACACACAAAAGTTCACAGCATAGAAATGGGGAAAACTTTAACCCGATCCTAATTCCATCTTCTTCTTCCATCTTCTTCTTCCATCTTTCCTCAACCATCTCTTTGGCGATTGTTCAGAAAATTTTGTTTACAAATAGAAACCAGCATTCTCTACTTGTAGTCAAAATTTCAGAGCAAGATCGACGAGGGGAGAGCTGAGAAAACGAAGAAGAAGAATTCGGGTCGGATTTGAGTTTTCCCATTTCTATACTGTGAACTTTTGAATAGTGTTTAAAAATAGATTTATAAGAAAAATAAAAATAGATCTAAAAGATCTAAAAGATCTATAAAAACTACCTCTTAAGTCGATAGAGTTGTGAGATTTTTCTCGCGTGAGAACCGGTGAAATGGAGATTTGATGGGATTTCGAGTTGTGATGAGCGAAAGTTCGATGTGTAGAGTTGAGAGGTTGATGGACGGCCCAAACGGATCAAATCCATCCGTTCACCGGTGCGATCTGAAACAAACAAAAAGGCTAAGTGAAAGCTGTGGAAGAGGGGAAATTATTTAGAAAGTGAGCACCTTTGGTTTAGTTGGTTTTTTCATTAAAAATATTTACTGAAAGGATTCGATTTTCGACTTTACGCAATGAAATGAGACAAGATTTAGTAGAGTGTGTTCCTCTCACTTTCATTCTTTTTTCATCTCTGGTTTAATTACCCAAGTTTGAAGTTCGATAAACGAGTCATTCAATTGGGAAGCTTTGTGGAATAAATGCTGGAATAAATGCTGGAATAAATGTGTAACAAATATTAGACAGAAATCTACAAGTTTTGCCTTTTAAATGAATTTTGGTTTACTTAGAGAGCTAGCAATATAAATTTGCATATTAGTAGAGTGCTATTGACTCATCAGAGCATAACAATTAGCATTTAACTTTTAGATTAGAACTTTTAGATTAACTAACTAACTAAATTTGTTTCTAGCCAAAGGTTGCATGATTTGACACACAATATTTCCTCTTCGCATCAGCACTTACTTATAGAGTGTGTTCCTCGCGAGTAAGTAATTACTTGAGTAAAGTTGCATGAGTAATTGTCGAGTAATGCGTTTTCTAAAAAGTGCGCCTGCGCGAAAAAAAATATAAAAGCAATTTTTTGCGCAGGTTTTTCAAAAAAAAAAATCAAATTCTGCATTAGAAGGGAATTTCCCCACCAAATCAGTTAAACGGCTGAGTATTTTTAAAAAGTGTCATATATAATGCGGGGCTCGTGATTTTTGCGGGGGGTGGGACAAATGCGACCTTTTTTTGCGCACCTGGACATTTGCGCACCTGGACATTTGCGCACCTTTTTTTTTGCTGGAAAAGGCCTTAGGAAAGGTCGTAGAGCTTCGAAAATGTTTTCATGGAAGCGAATCGTATGCGTAGATTCCGAATTTCGACAAATCAGACCTCGCTGACACGTCAAATTTGGGCTAAAAGGCAAAAACTACGCAACTTAACGCTTTTCCGCAGTTTTTGAAGCTCTACGGCCTCTCCTAAGACCTTTTCCAGCAAAAAAAGCTCGCATTTGTCCCACCCCCAAAAATTATTATTAAATATTATTAAATTGAAAGCAATATAAAAGCAATTTTATGCGCAGGTTTTTCAAAAACAAATCAGTTTTTACATTAGAAGGGAATTTCCCCACCAAATCAGTTAAACGGCTGAGTATCTTTAAAAAGCGTCGGATATAATGCGGGGCTCGTGATTTTTGCGCCATTTTTTTGCAATAATTTTTGCTAAAAGTACGGTGATTTTTTCTCAAGTATGCTTTTTAAAAAACGCATTACTCACGAGGAACACACTCTAAGATTTCGTGCTCACCTAAGAGTGCTCCAATCGCCGTCTCATCCACACATTGAAACCGTTTGTGTAGAGTGTCTAACACCTTTTCCCTGCTCCAAGCATTCCTCGCCCGACAATAGAATTCTTTGTTTACTCGCTCACATCGACTCAAATCGATGGGATCAAGATGGGAAAAGATCTCTCCCCAAACGTCTTCCATTCTGAAATTTAAGAAAAATTCGTGAAAAACAAGGAATTGGAAAAGAGATTCAGCAAGAAAATAAGATTTTTTTGATAAGAAAAGTTGAAAAAGATTAGATTAGAAGTATTAAAAGTACAAAAGTACAAAAGTACATGACATTTTTAAAGCGATAAGGTACAAGTCTGCTTGCTTTGAATGCTTCCTCTGCTTTGAATGCTTCCTCTGCTTTGAATAGATTAAGAATTTCAAAAAGCTGATTTATCAAAGAAATCATACTGAATTTGTATTCTTTCTAGTAATAAATTGGTTAGAAAATGATTTTCCTTTTTCCGATGGCAAGGCTGAGACAAAATTCATATCATTGATCATTCACAAATACATTTTTCATGTCATTTTCTTTGTGGTGATGACAAATTGAGGCGAAAGGGGAAATTGATATTCAGTAAAAATTTTTAGAAAATATTTTGGCAAGCCGGCCGTCTTATGGGTTGGGACTGGTCGGCGCTGCGATTCCAACCAGCGATCGCCACTCCGGATCTCGTTTACCAGGCAATAAAATGTAAAATTGAATGCGCTAGATAGTTTTGGTTTACAAAAAAACACTCCAAAGAATAGTTACCAGGTCTACCAATGAGCCAGACCTACAGGCGTCACGCCGCCGCCACGACGAGGCTTTATCCCTTACTAAAGGAAATTTCAACGAAACTTTGTACAAAACTTTTTGTACGTTGTGCTCAAAAATGAAAACGCACCCTTTCTGATGCATGAAATTTGAGCTAAAATGTGAAATTGAATGCGCTAGATAGTTTTGGTTTACAAAAAAACACTCCAAAGAATAGCTAAATCTTAAATTTCTGGAATTTAGTCAACCAGAAAGAGAGTGTTTACAAAGAGCAACTCTAAAAAGCACTTCTAGTAGAAAGCTCTTTAAACTAGTGCACCAGAAAGAGTGCGTTTACAAATTTTTGGCGTATAAAGTTCAACTAGAAAGTAGTTACAGTTTCCCAGATAAAGTATGATTGTAAATTTTTGAGTACAAAGTACATAAAAAAGTACATACAAAGTCGTACAAAGTACATAACAAAGTGAGTACAAAGTACATAGCAAAGCGAATACAAAGTACATAGCAAAGTGAGTACAAAGTACATAGCAAAGTGAGTACAAAGTACATAACAAAGTACATACAAAGTCGTACAAAGTACATAACAAAGTACATAACAAAGTACATAACAAAGTACATAACAAAGTACATAACAAAGTACATAACAAAGTACATAGCAAAGTACATAACAAAGTACATAACAAAGCGTAACAAAGCGTAACAAAGCATAACAAATCCCAATTTCAGTGAAAATGAAGAAAAAAATCGATTTATCATTGTTTTATAGTGAAAGAAAAAGAAATTTTTACGATTTCCAAGTAAAATGATTAGTAATTATGGAGTTTAGTCTCAAAAATCTCTCAGAAAATCCTTTCTTTAATACTAAAAGAAAAGCAAAAGAAGAAACACATAATCAGCTAACGATCTTTCTCTCTTTTTTTTGAGAAAACGACAAATTTCTCTCTAACAAATTGAGGGACTGTGGAAATTTGTGGAAAGAAGAAATAAGAAAAGAAAAAAAAAATACGATTGTTATGACTGCTTCATCATTGACGCAAAAGGAAATAGGGATCAAAAAAGCAAAAGCAAAAGTTTACGGAGAAAATGACTATACATTACTTTTTAGAAAACGATTTTTTAAAAAGAAATCGATCTTTTTAAATAGAAAATTTGATTTCAAGTTTAATGAAAGAAAATTCAACGTTTTGTTAAAAAAAAACCCCGTTAAGATAGCAAAATACAATCCGTACGTACGTAGCAAAATGTACGTACACTAGTGGACAATGAAATATGATATTTGAAAAAAGATCGTCACTTTCGCGCGTCTGTAACTCCCTTGTCTTTACCGTATTTCTAAATATTAATATTACCATTGTGTAGCCCTTGAAAAGAGCTTTCAGAAAATGTAGAACACTAATAGTTTAAACTCAAAGACAAGGGAGTTACAGAGGCGCGTGAAAGTGACGATCGTTTTTCAAATATCATATTTCATTGTCCAGTACTGTAGGTTCGGATTGGAATTTTCCTATGTCTAGTCCAGACCAGGCCAGACCAGGTAAGCTTTTTGGAACTCTACCTTATTGCAAGCCTATTGTGAATCGTAAATCTCTGGGTGTCCTGTAACACCTTGATTCTAACGCTTACAAGAGAAACCAATACCAATACCATCAATACCAATACCAAATATCATATTTCATTGTCCAGTACTGTAGATTGCCAACGGCAAAAGCGAAAAAACGGCAAAGTTAACAAACAACCAGCTATATCAAAAGCTGTTTAACCAATTTAGACAAGATGAACTCGAAAATTCATAGAAAAGTGATGAATCAAGTGCTCTGGAAAGGGTGTGTTTACACACATATTGGGCTATACCACTTGGTGATAGAGTTTAATCGGCGTAATCTAATCGAATCCTAATCTTTATTTCTACAGAGTGGCGCACAATTACCCTCAATTTTGTTTCAAAGTCATTGTTTTGAATTTTGAACTTTGATTCCTAATCAAAATTCATTGTTTTCTAATAAAAATGAGCTAGATTTTCGAAATAATAAGTAAAAAAAGAGTAAACAAATAAATAAAGCTGGTTTTCTTTGATTTTGAAACATTGAAACTCGTTATAAAAACCAGAAAATCGCGATTTCACCGCAGAAATTTTGCAGTGCTTTTAGCAAAACTTTAGAAACTTTTCTGATCAAATCCCGAAAACACATTGCAATAGAAAGCTTCAAATTGATAATAAAAAAAAGAATTTGGTTGATTGGTTGCGAAGAGGCAACGATTAGTTGCGAAGAGGCAACGATTGGTTGCCTCTTCGCTTAAGCTGGAGAACCTGAACTGAGTGCGGGTAATTTGTTGAGTTTTTTGTGCGGGTAATTTGTTGAGACACCTTGTTGAGTTGCATCAATATCAAATATTGGGTTGATGGAATAGTCCTTTCCGATTTTTTGGGAGAGTCTCTTAAATTTGTCCAATTTTGACGTTTTATAGCTCATCCTAAAGCTGAATTCAAGACGGATCGATTGGTAAAAATCGTTTTGAGATACCTCTTTTCTAAGTTTTTACAGCTATTTTAGTAAAGGGTGGCAGAGCCAAAAAAGCCAAAAAATGGCTGTTTTCACGTTTCGTTAGTTTTCCGTGCAGAAACCTAGGCTAAAAACATGTGTTTCGTAATCAGCGTCAAAATACAAATTGTATTTTCCAATAGATGAGATGATCTCAACGTTGAGGTAAAGGTAAAGATACCAATACAATAAATGAGATGATCACAACGTTGAGGTAAAGGTAAAGATGCCGATAGATGAGATGATTTCAACGTTGAGGTAAAGGAAAGCCTTTTTTTCTTGGTATCTTTAGGCAGAATGCAATGGTGCAATGGTGAAATTAATAATAAGTTATAAAAAAAGAATCTATAAATGATTGTAATTAATGCTGAATGGCATAAATTTGCCATAAGCATGCTGTTTTTTTCTTGCCAAAAACGAGCGAGTTGAGGTCGAAATCGAAATTTCGACAAGAGAAAGTCGCCGAAAAAAGCGAGAAAACTTGGAGCGGGAAAAGAGAGATTTCTTTTCCTTTTTTCTCCATTTCTTTTCCTTTATCCACAGCTGATTCAAAGGCACATCGATTGCCTAAGGGAAAAAGAAGGCTTTTGGCTTTTTTTTGCTTTTGTTCTTCTTGCCTTTTGCGATTTCTTTGAGATCTTTCCTTTTCAGGCCATTTCATGCCCTATTTCAGCCATTTTTTTCTGGATATTTCTAGTAGGAAAGTGTTCTTTATGCTCAAAAATGTTTGGCTTTTTGCTTTTTTGGCTTTTTTGGCTTACTTAAATCTTTGTTTTTCTTTAACTAATCATTGCTGGGTAGAATAGGAATCGAATGTTGTCAGAAAGGATGTGTTTAGGAGTAAAGTGAACGCACAAGAACAACTTAAACTTAAATGAATGATGAAAAGAATGATCAAATGAATTGTTAGCATTGAAACAAAGATTGTAAATAAATGGGTTGAAAAATCATAAGCTAAAGATAAAATAAGCACCGATTACCCATTTATCCGTGAGAGGAGAACACTTTACAATCAAACGAGTGACAATTTGGTTTAAGACTTGCACAGCTGTCAATGATTGTTGAATAAAAAGGTTAAACATTAGACATGGGCATCGGGTCGGGTCGGGTCGGGTCAAAAGTGACCCGCTGATCGCTGACGCTGGCAAAAATTTTTGGCTTGACCCGATCCGGCCACCAAAACTCGAAAATGGACCAGTCTATTAAACATTGAAATTTAAAAGAAATAGTTAAACTAAAATAAGCACTGATTACCCGATTTATCCGTGAGAGGAGAACACTTTACAATCAAACGAGTGACGATTTGGTTTAAGACTTGCACAGCTGTCAACGATTGTTGAATAAAAAGGTTAAACATTGAAATTTAAAAGAAATAATTAAACTTAAAACATTTATAGAAGAGAAATCCCAAAATAAACAAAATAAACAAAATAAATAATTAAAAATGAATTTCTATTTCTATAATAATCTTATTTTAAGACCCAAAAGTCGAAAAATTCAAGAAAATCCGTTGGAAAAAGAGCCTTCAAAATCTCCCACTTTTTCAGCAACTTTACCAAACTTTTTTTCAACTTCGAGAATCTCTTTGAATGAGAAAAGAGAAAGATTTTGAGGGCCATATGGCTTTTTGGCGGAGAAATGGAAAGGAGAAAGAATGAGAAGGGAAAAGCCGATATCTCTCTTGGTCAATACAACGATCGGATCTGGGAAAAGAGAGTTGGAAAAGAGTAATACGTGGGACTCCTTCTTTTTGTCTCATTTCCTTCTCAATTTCTCTCTCTCTTTCAATCACCCTTCAATTAAGCATTCTGAGGAATTTGAGAATGTTGGGCAAACAATGAATTGGAAAGGATAAT